TTTTTCTGAATTTCACCCCCCCAAGAAAAAAATTTGCCCCAAAAGCCACAAAATTTTGGCTACAGGCCTGCTCACAGCATTGGCAATACAGTCTTTTATACTCTCAGTTCTGCATTTCTGCATTAAAGTGGAAGTACAGGAAATCAGCAAAATGAAAAACAGATAACCTTGCAGAGTTGCAGCACGTCTTCTGCTATGGGTACAATATGACCCGTACTGTTTCTCATATGTTTGGTGCAGACTGTGGCTTACTTGGGCAGGATCCTGTCTTTTGTCCTAGTAGTCATAGAATCATAGATTCATAGAGTTAGAAGGGACCTCCAGGTTCATCTAGTCCAACCACCTACACAATGCAGGAAATTCGCTAATACCTCCCCCTCCACACCCACAGTGACCACTGTTCCATGTCCAGAAGATGACAAAAAAACCTCCAGGATTGCTTCCTGACCCCAAAGTGGTGTTCAGCATTTCCCTGGGCATGTAAGAAAGGGCCACAAGAATTAAGCACTGAGGCAACCCTTCCTGCCCTCCCTCTCATGATCTGCCTAAGTTCACAGAATCAGCATTGCCGTCAGATGGCCCTCTAGCCTCTGCTTAAAAACCTCCAAAGAAGGAGAGCCCACCACTTCCCAAGGAAGCCTGTTCCACTGAGGAAAACAAAAAAGGCTTCAGGAAAAAACCCGGAAAAAACCCGTTTTCCCCCCCGAATTATTCTGGGTTTTTTCCCGGGCCTTCACATCTCTACTCTGGACACATTCCAGCTTGTCTATATCCTTCTTAAATTGTGGTGTCCAAAACGGAACACGATACTCTAGGTGAGGTCTAACCAGCGCAGAGTAAAGTCATTTCAGATGACCCTATAGGAGTTGAAAGGAGAGGGCCCAATCCCATCTAAAGGAGGCCGCAGTCTGCTTAAGGGCCTCTAAGCTCTGGTACACAGATATGGCACAACCAGCCTAACAAAGGTCTCTTGAGCGCCCGCACACTGGCTGCTGCAGGAGGTGGAGCCAGCCACACAGTGGCCTCCACAGCTTATCTTCAGACACACACTGCATGGGCCCTTTCTGCACTCTCTTTTTAATCGACGTTCCTCCAAGCAATTCTGCACTAAAGCCGAATTCAACCTGCTTTTTAATCCAGGTCAGTTTCCCCTCTAAGCTGAGTCAGTGTGAGCTAGCTCACGTTTTTTTAGCCTCCGGCTCACACGTTTTTGTCTCAGCTCAGGAAGGAGGGCTCCAGAGCAAACTAATTTATGCAGTAGCCACATCTCCTGCTCACAACTTTAATGCCAGCAGCTCACAAAGTAGGATTTTTGCTCACAAGACTCCACAGCTTAGAGGGGACATTGTTCCAGGTTGTTTCCCCCCCATTCTGCACTAAAATCGAGTTCAACCTTCTTTTTATTCCGGGTTTTCCCCCCCATTCTGCATTGCATTCCCTCCCCCCAGTGGTCAGCCTGCTCTCAGCCTGCTGTTGCCCCGAGTTATTTGGATGCTGTTTTGCTGTGGACTTAAATTGCCTGAGAAGTGGCAGGCAAATGCGGAAAGGACCATCGAGATCCTTCTGTTTTGGTGGCAGCTGCCGCTGAAGCAACTATTTTTTTTAAATCTGCAGAGTCACAACATGGTTAAAATTCTGCACAGTCAGTCAGATCTCCAGTAGCCAGTCAGAAGCCTCGCTGGGTAAAAGCCCCACTTGGTCCCGCCCATTTCCTAAAAACACCTGGTGGTCACCAGAAGAGGTGTCGGTGGGCACCACACTGGGGTACCCCTGTGCTAAGAGATTTCAGAACTTTGAGGAAACATTTCCAAGATTCTGTCGCATCTTCCAAACGGCAGTAGGTTGGGAACACTTCCCCTAGAAAACGGCAGCCGATGGTGGGATTCCTCTTCATTCAACACTCTTCCCGAATAAAATGTAACCATCTGAAGCAGGGAAGGAAGATCCCAAAGAGATCCAGATTTCCCTTTCCTTGTAATCCATATGAGGGAAGCAGTCAGCCACTAGACTGCCACTGAGTCTGTTTCAAAAGCGGCCCTGTTAATGAAACTGAATGAATTTCTGGTTGGGAGTGGGGAGGGAAAGTGGGGATAGGATTAGAAAATATCAACCCACGGAGAGTCCTTGAACGTGGGACTCTCTTTCCCCGGGCCTTTCTCATCCTGTGCCTGCAGAAGCCCACCACTGCCGGAACGACGAGTTCAGCTGCAGCTCTGGGATGTGCATACGCCTTTCTTGGAAGTGTGATGGCGACAACGATTGCCGGGACTGGTCTGACGAAGTCAATTGCACCAGTGAGTACTTTACACCCTGCTTCCCCCCCCCCCCAGGGGGGGCCCAAAGCAGCTTATAACATGGCTCTCTCCTCCATTTTTTAATCTACACAGCAACCCTGTGAGGTAGGTTAATCTGAGGGGGGGGGGGCTGGCCAAAAGTCACCCAGGAAGCTTCCCTGGCATGGAGGGGGGACTCAAACCTAACTTTCCCAGATCCAAGCCCAGTGCTTTAACCACTACACCACACTTCTTTGTGCTCTGTAAGCCCTTGATTGTCCGTTCACTGGCAAAGGCGTGATTCTTCCATTAAAGGACCATGAGAAATGCTTTTTTTAAAAATTATTTATTTATTTATTACATTTATGGCTTGCCCAGTCCCCACGAACTGCAGGGCTCCGGGCGATATACAACATTTTAAAAGCATTAAAACCATAAAATGAATACAGAGTATTAATTAGTATTAATACTAATACATTAATTTTAAGAAATCAATTGGTGGAAATTACAGTTTTCTCCAGGCCCGTAGCCAGGATTTAAAAAAAATAAATAAATTGGGGGGGCCTTTAAATAAGTCAGGGGGCCCCCCCCCCCCCCTTCTGAACCCCCCCCCCCAAAAGGAGCACCTGGG